CTCAGGTCACTAGGCCTGTGTGGCAAATGCTTTCCCCGACAGAGCCATCTTGCTGATATTGGTCCTGGTTTGGTTTCTCTTTTTGAGACAGAGTTTCGCAGTACGGTCCAGGATGGCCTGGCACTCACTGCACAGCTCTGCCAGCTACTTCTATGCCAACTTGACACAAGCTAGTGTCCTCCAGTAAGGAGGGAGCCTCAAGAGAGAAGATGTTTTCACAAGGCTGCGTTATAGGCAAGCCTATAAAGGGTTTTCTCAGTGATCAATGAGGGAGGGCCCAGCCCATTATGAGTGGTACCATCCCCAGGCTGGTGGTCCTGGGGTCTATAAAGCAGGCTGAGCAAGCCATGGGAGTCAACCAGGAAGCAGCATTCTCCCATGGCCTCTGTATCGGCCCCTGCCTCCAGGTTCCTGCCCTATGAGTTCCTGTCCTGACTTCCTTCAGTGATGAACAGTGATGTGGAAAGTTTCCCTTTCCTCACTGAGTTGATTTTGGTCAATAAAAACTCTAAGACAATAGCCCAATCTAACCTCATACTTTCAGCAATCCTCCTGCCTCAACAACCCTCTAAGTGCTTGGATTACAGAAGTGAGCTATCACACTGGGTAAGATTTTTCCCCCAAGATAGGGTCTCTCTACATAGTCCTGGCTGACCGGGGGTCAACAAAGCAGGCTGAGCAACAGATAGGGAGTAGGCCAGTAAGAAGCACCCTTCCATGGCCTCTGCATCAGCCCCTGCTTCCAGGTTCCTGTGTAGGCAAGGTCAGTCTGGAACCCACAGCAATCCTCCTGTTTCAGCCTTTCAAGCACCGGGAGTACAGAAGTGCTTTACCATGCCCAGTAGGCAAGATCATTCATGAGCTGTTCTCACCTCCCTGCCTCTTCATCTTCCCCACCACTCACCAGCTCCCTTTTCCAGGTGGGGTCACTTTCTTATTCCTATTGCATCTGCCTCTGTCTCTGAGCCATCATTCAAATTGTCCCCATGATATAAAACCTAGAACCTTCTTCAAGGTCCAGCTTGCCTTCTTCATAAATCTTTATCAAGGCCACAAAACAAAATAAGTAAGAGAAAAGACTTTGAAGCTGCCCAGTCTAGGTTCAACTGCTGGCTTTTGGGAAAATTATTTAAGTTTTTGAGACAATACTTTTTAAAGCAATAGCTTCCTCTGAATGTGTGGAATATGCGGAATGGCCTGCTCCTTCCTGTTTGCATTTAACCCCTAAGAGACTTGAGAAAAGGCAGAGACAAACTGTTCAGAACATGAAGACTTGTTACGTCCTAAGACTCATTATCTGCAGTTTAACACCTCAGAGACATTTAGAAGTACCATAATTTTTACACCAAGAAACACTGATTGAAGAGTAGCCCAACCAGAGCTGGAGATCTCAGCTAGCATCTGCCCCTTCTAAAAGTGATCTGCACCCAAATTACAGGAGACCCCCAAAATCCCAGAGTCATAGGGTCACTAGTTGATAAGAGCAACCATTCTGCCTGTTCTTTAAGAAGCTGTCAGAACTTCTGGTTTGCCAAAAGAATGCTATAGGCTCAAGAATCAACCCATTCACAGCTCAGGACCACCCAGGAGTCAGGGGCGGCTCAACCTCACCAGGTTTACATCAAGAGGGACCAGCCAGCTCTGAAATTCTGCCCTCTGTCAGAGATCTGCATGCTATGTTCTCTACAGCATCAGGTCAAGGAAACGCAGCTCAGAAGAAGCTGTCAGGACTCACAACCGTCTGTAACTCAGTCTCAGGGGGATCCAGTGCCCTCTTCAGATCTCTACAGGGTACTAGGCACGCATGTGTCACACAGACTTCCAAGCAGGCAAAACATTCAAACACATAAAATTTTAAAAATAAATAAACAAAGCAAGAAATAAATCCATGAAAGCAGTTGTTGGGTGGGGTACACTTTTGCTAGCTTGTGTGAAGCCCTGGGCTCTACCCCCAGCACCAAAGGATGGGGAGGGGAAGCTGCAGTTAGCTATCTATAGCATGATGAGTTCATTACTAGACCCCATCTGGCTGACTGGTGACAAAGCCAAGGATGAATAGGAGGTACTCAATTTGTCTCTGTTCAGGTCACAAGGGCAAGTTGCAGCCACATGAGGGCTCGGTTTGTGCAGCCAGCGCCTACGGCTGATAACACCTCCTGCACTCATTTTTGATGAAAGCATTTCCGTAGCACCTGAAGCAGAGGAAGCACTCAGATCATTTCACCGCCCTGAAAATGTTGACAGGACGCCCACTAAATGACAGGTCCCATTCTCAGAGGGCCAGGTGCACAACTATCAACAACAAACATACTCTCTTTAGGGAGGGAGGGAGGGAAGGAGGGAGGGAGGGAGAGAGAGAGAGAGAAGAGAATGGATGCATGGATGGATGGAAGGATGACCATGTTATACCTGAAGACAGGGGAGGGAGAACTTGCTAGCTACGTAAGGAATGTTAGAGGTCTCTCTAGTGAGGTGATGTTTACTGAGAGAAGAACTTATCAAACAAAAGGGCATTCCAGGCATAGCTCATAGCAAGAAGTTGGATTGCCAGGTCAAAGAACATCAAAGGATCAAGGGATGGAAAGTAGGAGCTGGACGCTATGCAACCTTAGACCATGGCTAGCCCTTGAGCTGTGTATGCTTCCCAGTGAGAGGGAGAGCTACAGAAAGTTCTAAGTGGCAAATGACATAATTTTTTTTGAGGTATGTAGCCTAGGCTGACCTGATTTGTCTGATGTTTTGAAAGAATCAATCTTGTTGGTACACTATTAAAAGACCAGAAAGGGAGACAGATCAGTTAGGAAACAGCCACCAAAATGCAGGTGAGATCTGTGGCTCAAATCCGGGACGTTGTGGTAGTCACAGAAAAGTGACTGCATTATAGATGTGGAAGATGGGACGACGGGGATTGCTAATGGCGTATCAGGTGCAGCGACGGGCTCAGGACCTGTTCATCTGAACAAGCTGATGCTTATGAAAGTAAAGTCTGTGAGCCACAGTGGTAGAGAGTGGGGGTGGTAAAAAGAACTTTCCTAGCAAGTGCTCAGACGTCTCCTGATTTATAAAGCACAAGCAAGGGACCACATCCGTAAGTTCCACTACTGACTACATACCCAAGAGAAGTGGAAGCAGGGCTGACAAGATGGCTCAGCCAGGAAAAGGAGATTGCTACTGGGCCCAACAACCTGAATTCAGTCCTCCAGACTCACACAGTGGAAGGTGAGCGCCAGCTCCCAGAAGTTGTCCTCTGATCTCCACTGGCACATTTCCGCACATTCGAAAAAGTTATTTTGAGACAGAAACTCACTATGTAGCGCTGGATAGCTTGGAACTTGCTGTGTAGACCAGGCTGACCTCTTACTCACAGAAATCTACCTGCCTCTGCCTTCTGAGTACTGGGATTAGAGGTGTGCACCATCATACCCAGTAGTAAATGTAATTTTTGACTGGAAGAGATATTCATTCATCAGTGTTCATAGCAGAAAAAGGTAAAAAGCATCCCAAATGTTCATCAATAGATGAACAGACAAACAACATGAAATCAATACTATTAATATTGAACAGTGATTACCTTCTGACAAATGCTGTAACACTGAGGACATTATTCTAAGAACAGATCGTTTAGAGTCTCTTATATTAGGTACTTGGAGTCACGGGATTCATAGACTCACAGCAAGGAAGGTAGTCTCGAGGAGCTGGGTAAAGGAAATGGGGAGTTGGTGGTTATAGCGTTTGAGCTGTGGAAGATGGGAAGAGTTCTGGAGGCTGCGCATGGTGAGGATCACATGAGAACAGGAAGGCACTTAATGCCACTGAAGAGAACATCACAAAAATCATAAAACCAGGGGCTGGAGAGATGGTTCAGAGGTTAAAATAACTGACTACTCTTCCGGTAGACCCAGGTTCAATTCCCAGCACCCACAAGGCAACTCACAAGTGTCTGTAACTCTTCTGGCCTCCAAGGGCATCAGGCACACAAATAGTACACATAGAAGCAGGCGCACACGGGAGCTCGCTCTCTCTTTCTCTCTCTCTCTCTTTTTCTCTCTCTCTCTCTCTTTCTCTCTCTCTCTCAAATAAATAAATCTTTAAAAAAAAAAAAGAAGCAGAATAAATTGTAAGCCAGACCTAGTGTCCCAGCCACTCAGGAGGCTAAGACAGAAGGATTCACAATCTGTCTGGGCTACAAAATGAGTTCAAATTAGTGGAATCCTGTCTCAAAATAAAAAGTTAAAGACAGGAGTTGGAGCTGGAATAAAGTGCTTGCCTAGCATGCACAGAGTCAATGACCACCGATAAATAAACCAGACGTGATGATTCATGCTATAACCCCAGCATTCAGAAAGTAGAGGCAAGAGGATCAGGAGTTCAAGGCCAGCCTTGCCAATAACCTCAAGTCACCATCAGCTACAAAATGAGATCAAGGCCAGTCTGAATTCCAAGAGACCTTTTCAAATAGATAAATAATATATAAACAGGAAGAAGAAGAAGAAAGAAAAAGGAAAAAAGAAGCAAGAAAGGCAGGGTATGTAACTCAATGGTAGAATGCTTGCCTGGCAACTGCAAGGCCCTGGGTTCAGTCACTCATAGTGAAAACAATCAGGTTAAAATGGTTTTGTTGTTTTTAAACCGTTTACCAAGGTCACAGTGTGAGTATGACTCAGGAACTTAAATATAAAATGAACTGGGTGTGGCAGCACATGCCCTTCTGTAATCCTAGTACTCAGGAGGTGGAGGCAGGAGGATCACAAGCTCCAAGCCAACCTGAGCTGCACAGGAAGACCCCGCCCTTGTTTAAAAATAAATAAACAGAAAGAAAAAGCAAACAAACTTTAGCGTGCCCAGGGTTACAACAACTGAAACCGGACTGGAGCCCAGGCAGCCTCAGGTCTGTCCCTTGCCCTTGAAGCAGGACAGTCAGGGCTGCGGCAGCACAGCTGCAGCTGTGTGGGCTGCATTTGGAGCTTCCACACCCCAACATCTCACCCTCGAAATGTCTATTAGCCTTGAAGCCACAGACTGACCAGGCAGAGAATCACAAGGCTCTCAAGGTCTAGAAGTGGCTCCATGGACTGACTTGCTACTCTTTTGCCAAAATGACTGACCACAGCTGACCAAACGCAAGCTCTCTTCTATGCAAGCTGGTTTTCAGATCTCAGAGAAATGCCAAAAATCCCTTTGTGATCTGGAAGCAAATGGCAGGGCAGGTAAGGCTGATTTCTGGAATCCAAAAGAAGCCGTGTTTACACAAATATCCAGCTTCCAAGTCCAAAAGAGAGAGGATACATAAGCTATTCTCTTCCTTTGTTTGAGGCTATGAGAGAGAGACAGAGACAGAGAGACAGATAGGGAGGGAGGGAGGGAAGGAGGGAGGGAGGGAGGGAGAGAAAGTGTGTCTGAGACAGTGTGTGTGAGAGTATGTGTGTTTGCTACAGTGTGTGAGTGTGTGTGTGAGTGTGTGTGTGTTTGCTACAGTGTGTGAGTGTGTGCATGAGTGTGAGTGTGTGTGTGTGTGTGTGTGTGTGTATTTGAGACAGTCCTGGTATGTATATACCCAAGGCTTGCCTTTGAACTTGTTTGTAACCCAGATAGGCCTTGAATTCATAGCAATCCTTTTGCCTAATGAACATCGCTACTTTCCTTATTTGGTTGTTGTTTATTTGAGTTTTGTTTTTGAGATAGGCTCTTGATAGATAGCCCAGGCTGGCACATAGGTACTTGCTATATAAACCAGGATAACCTAGAACCTGCAGCAATCCTCCTGTCTCTGCCTTCCCAGTCCTAGGAGTTTAATGATAACCCCACACCCAGGGCAAATCAGTTTCTAAGGAAGCATCCATGATCAAGTGAGAGAGACATCCCTGTGAAGGTAAGCGCAACCCTCTTCCTGTAGCTTCAGTCAAAGCACATGGGGCTGGTGAGATGGGTAAAGGCAATAACTTCCAACTTGGCTTAGGATCTGACTTTGATCCCTGAATCCCACGTGGTGGGAGGAGAGAACTGACTCACACTTGTCCAGAATTCGGGTCGTTTGAGGGCAAGGATCTAATACTAAACCCCTTTAAATCCCAGGATACTTAATCAATGATGAAATAAACTGAAGAAGAAACAAACACCTTCTTAGGAAGGCAAACACCACAAGAAATCAAACTTGCTCCCAAGAGCAAGAGGGTACCATGAGCTCCAGGAAGCTAGCCAGCGGCTCTTGCCATCTTTTGCTCATTTTGTTTACCAGGCATTCTTTGCAGACCCTCCCCCCACCCAGCATGTAGACCAGCAGTGTGGGAATTGATGCAAGTTTGCCCAGGAACCTTGGGAAACACAGAGTCTTGGAGACTCAGGTGGGCCAGGATGGGGGAAGAGAATCATCAAAAACTCAGAGCATAGGTTGTTGGGAAAATATGAATTCCTAACTACTAGAGAGGCTAAGGCAGGAGGATTAAAAGTTCCAGGATAACCAGGACAACTTAATGAGATCCTATCTCAAAAGAAAAAATAACAAGAGGGCTGGGGGCTGTGGACCAGCTGCAGAGGGCTTATCTCATGTACACAAGATCCTACATTCAATCCCCAGTACTGATAAAAATAAAAAGCAAACCAACTAACAAAAAGGCAAGGTATTGGAAGAATGTCATGAAGACCAGATGTGTGGCCCAGCCTCATGGCTTGGGTACCTGTGAGCACTCCAGCATGACTGGAATGTAAGACGCCCTGTGGGAATAAGGGGGCACTGAGACAGAAACTGGATCACAAGTCACCCTGAGAGCTAAGGACATGAACTTTACCCTGAAAGTCGTGAGGAGCCATTGGAGAACCTCAAGAAAGAACAACGTGATATGATTGTGTATGTGTGTGTGTTTGTTTTAGATGGACACTCTTCGAGCTCACTCTGGCATGGAAGAAAAATAGTTAAGACAGGAAGACAGGAGGTGTCTGCAGGCAGCAGTGAAAACCTCAGCTATCAGAGATGTCAAGGATGTGGGCAACCTGTGGTGACCAGAAGTTAGCACAGAAATCAGGAGGGCGGGGGCGACAGCACCAGGAGATAAAGTACAATGCTGGGCACCCCAGAGGTACAAGCTTGGAGCTTGGGGAAGTAGGCTGGCTTGGGATTCAGTGGACCCCCCAATGTTATCCGGAGTCCAGAGTGGTGGGGAGGGTGATGGAACCTCAAGGTTAATCCACAAATCCGTAGGGAAGTCTGCCGTTTGTGAGCTTATAGGAAAAGAGGGTTATCGTGGAACATGTCCTCTGTACATGATATGACCAGCACTTCATATGTAGACCAGACTGGCCTTGCATACACTGAGATCCACCTGCCTCTGCCTCTAAGTGCTGGGATTAAAGGTTTATATCACCTTCCTTGGCTCTGTTGTGGCCTTGAAAACAAAGTAGCTGTGATTAGTCACAGGAAACACTCACAAGAGAGGGCCATTCGTAGTGCTCCCTTGAAGCAGAAGGGCTGAGACCTGCTCTCTGCCATGCAGCCCCAGCTGCACGCAGTCTTGAGAGGTATCAGAATATGTAAGAGGTGGAAGGGTAATGGAAGCAACTCCAAGGGGCATAGTGATCCACACCTGTTAGACCCAGCACTTGGGAGGATCTCAAGTTGAAGACCAGCCTGAGTTACATTATGAGTTTAGGGACAGTTTGGACTACAGAGTAATACCTTCTATCATAAATAGTAAAAAACAAAACATGGGGACTGGAGAGATGGATCAATTAAAATAATTTGCTGCTCTTGCTGAGGACCTGGGCTCAGTTCCCAGCACCCACGTTGGGCCACTTACAACCAGCTCTAACTCTTGCTCCAGGAGATCCAACGCCTCTGTCCACCAGTACCTGTATTCAAATACCCATACCCACACAGACACATACACATAACATAATTAAAAACAAGAAAAATATTTTTAAAAGATGAAGGAGAGAAGGTTTTGAATTTCTGCGCTCCGGCATCCTGAGCCGGCGGCTCCTTCCCAGCTGGGCATCCACAGCCCCAGAAGTCAGGGAATCTGCTGGTGCTTTCCTGGGCCTTCTCTTGCAGACACTATGCCACTCTAACATGAAGGCTGTCATTGTCCCAGTCCCCACCACTTCTCTCACCTGCATCTGGGGTGGGGACTGAAGCTGCCCCAGCTTTATCGATGGCTTCCTTGGGTTGATTCCCGTCATTGCAGTCCAGGGCTGAAGGCTGTGCTGTGCTCTGATGATAAGGATAAAGATGATTATAGAGTCACTCAGCACCATCCCATGGGTTAACATTTCTCAAATATATACTGCAGGGATGTACGGAACATCAGAGAAAACACCTTTCCCAAACTACTCCCCACACCTCCCGGGCCAGCCGTACCCTTGCCTGAAGCTCTGGCTACTGAGAAGACAGCAGAAGACCCTGAGCTCACAGTCACAGAAATTTCATACAAAGGGGACACTGTCTCCGGTCCATCAATCACCAGATCTAGTCTCTCTCCTCAAGGGCTTCACAGGGGCAGAAGGAGAGAAACAAGACACAGTTCAACACTGTGAACCATGTGTAAGAAGAAGAAGTTTGTGTTGGACCAGCAAGCTGGTCATTCTCTCTGTCCAGCTCTAAGCTAGATGTCATGGGACATACAATCAGTAGGCTGGACTCCACGTGGCTGTTCTCTTGAAGACTTAGGAGGTAGATCTCCAACCCAGGGGTTATCTCTATCCTATCACAAAGGAAAGCCCACATTGCCTTGGGATTTCCTAGCTATAGCCAGGGTCCATTTGACAGCAACATGGAAGTCAACTCATGGAGAACTTAGCTGCCAGCCATGGCTTCAATAGGCTACTCTTTCCCTGCCATTCTAGAAAAATATTTTAGAGATTCACTTATTTATTTGTGTCTGGTCTGTGTAGGTATATGCACACAGGTAGAAATGCAAGCTTGTGCACACTCAGGAAGGCCCGCGGGACTGCTGGGCATCCTTTTCTATCATTCTCTGCCTTCTACTTTTGAGGTAGGATCTCTTCCTGAATGTGGGCTGTTCATTTTCTCAGCTATGCTGGTAGTCACACGAAGTGTGGTTTGAATTATTCTGTTGTCATTCGGCTGTTTTTGTTTTTAACTAATTAGAAAAACATCAGTGCTGGGGTTACAGGCATTTGCAGGGACACCTGGCTCCTTACATGCATGCTGAGATTAGAACGCTAGCCCTCATGATTGGAGAGCAAGTACTCTTAACCCCCGAGGCATCTCCCCAATCCTTCATCCTATGAAATTTCTCTTACACTGGTCATCTGAGCACACAGGAGGTAGAAGTACGAGAATCAGGAGTTCAAGGTCATCTTTGGCTACACAGATAATATGAGGCAGCCTTGGCTATATAAAACCATGTCTCTTAACTGCTGAGCCATCTCTCCAGCGCATAAAACCATGTCTCAAAATAACACAGGGGTTGGAGACAGCTCAGCCATTAAGATCACTTGTTTTTTTCTGTGTTGTAATAAGGGCAGCGGGGCTGCGTCCCCAGAACCCCGGCTGCCTGGCTAGCTTATGCCTGAAATAACAACACACAAACTGTATTCATTTAATCACTGCTTGGCCCATTTCTATCTAGCCTCTTCTAGGCTAATTCTCACATATTAATTTAGCCCATTTCTAATCATCTGTGTAGCATGCATGTAAGGAACATTTTCAAAGGATGAAATACGAATTTTCGGTCAAGACATACCTGAACAGGTATTCGACAATGATGGAGGAAGGTCATTGGTTAAATAAAAAGAAACTGCTTGGCCCTCATTGGTTAGAAGATAGGTGGGAGGAGTAAACAGAACAGAACGCTGGGAGGAAGAGGAAGTGAGCTCAGACTCCACAGCTCTCCTCTCGGGAGCAGATGCCTCAGAGAGACGCCATGCTCCCAACTCCCAGGCAGACGCACGCGATGAAGCTCCGACCCAGGATGGACATAGGCTAGAATCTTCCCGGTAAGCGCACCTAGGGGCGCTACACAGATGATTAGAAATGGGCTAAATTAATATGTGAGAATTAGCCTAGAAGAGGCTAGATAGAAATGGGCCAAGCAGTGATTAAATGAATACAGTTTGTGTGTTGTTATTTCGGGCATAAGCTAGCCAGGCAGCCGGGGTGCTGGGGACACAGCCCCGCCGCCCATATTACTACATTTCTGAGGCTCTGAGTTCTGTTCACAGCACTCATATAAAGCATCACACTGCCTGTAACTTCAGTTCCAGGGGATCTAAGCCCTCATCTGGTCTCCTTGGGCACCAGTCACGCATATCGTGCACATACATACATTCAGGCAAAACACTTGAATGCATAAAAGTAAATAAATAAATCCTTTGCTCACCTTCCTAGACCTGGATGAAGTGGGGAGGACTTGGACTTCCCACAGGGCAGGGAACCCTGACTGCTCTTAGGACTGGAGAGGGAGGGGGAAGGGGAGGGGGGAATGGGAGGGAAATGGGAGGAGGGCAAGAGGTGGAAATTTTTAATAAATAAAAAGAACACAAAAAAATAAATAAATCCTTACATCTTTTTAAACACAAAACTTTATTTTTTTTTAAAAAAAAGGAAAAGAAAAATTAAATTACTCTCTCTCAAAAGAAAACTAACGTAGAGGTTGATGAATGGGATGAGCTGAGGCCCTGCACTCCAAGTGTGTGTCTTACCTGACTTGCAAGTCCTCCCTACAGATGGGCTTTCTGCTCCGTCCCAGTTTGTGAAGCCACTTAAACTTTTCCTAACCATAAGCAATTAGCGCATTCTTCACGACACTTTCCCTGTGGCCTAGAACAACAGGCTGCTAGTCTCTGCATCCCAGAGCCTCACATGGGGCCTGGGCACTGTGGAAATACTTGTGACTTGGAGGAATGACAAACGAATGAATGGATGGATGGATGGATTATTAAAATGCTCTTTCCACTAAATGTTTCCATCTCTCTTTAACGACTTATGGCATCCGAGCTGGAAAGGTGGTTTAATGGGCTGGAGAAGATTAGGAGAACTTGCCACTCTTGCAAGGGACCAGAGTTTGGTCCCTAGCACACACATCTGGCAGCTCATAATCATTTGTATCTCCAGTTCTAGGGATTTGACACCCTCTTCTGGGTTCCACGGGCCCTGTATTCACGTAGTGCACATGCGCACATGCAGGCACTTATGTATACATAGAAAACAAAAATAAACAAATCTTGTTTTAAATGGCATAAAACATCCAAAGCTCTTAAAAAGCTGCGCATAGGTTAGTCCCATCACACTGATTCTTTATTCCACATTTCCAAAATTCCTGGAAAATTAGTCAGATATGAAATATTTTCCAAAAAACAATCATGGCTTTCCCAGAAAAAGTTTGGTTGGATAAGTGTTTGATAACTGTTTCTTTTCTTTCAATTTGTTCAGTTCTCAGTTACAAAATGCATCTCCGAAGAAGTCCAAATAACCACAGAAGAAAGGAATGTTTTTCCCTTTCGGCAGCAGCAATGAAATAATAAGGGCAAACACATTAGCACGGACCATGTGCCAAGCAAGGCCAAATCGTTTTGTTCACATGTTAACCCCTTCCAGCTCTGGAGACTTGCTATGTAATCATGAGACAGCTCACAACCACCCGAAATTCCAGGCCAAGGGTCCTATGCCTCTTCTGACTTCCCCAGGCCCTTGCATGCATAGGTGCGCAGACATATACTCAGGCACACACACATAAAATAATCATTTTTAAATTGTTTTTATTGAGCTATATATTTTTCTCTGCTATCTTCCCTTTCTCCTCTCTCCCTTTCCACCCTCTCCCATGATCCCCACACTCCCAATTTACGCACAAGACCTTGTGTTTTTCTACTTCCCATGTGGATTAGATAAGTAAAGAATTTGTTAAATATGTGAAGAGGTAGAAAGAATGCTCAAGGAGCTGGAGAGATGGCTCAGCGGTTAGGTCCTGAGTTCAATTCCCAGCTACCACATGGTGGCTCACAACCATCTGTAATGAGGTCTGGTACCCTCTTCTGGCCTGCAGGCATACATGCAGACAGAATATTGTATACATAATAAATAAATATTTTTAAAAAAAGAAAGAATGCTCAGTGGTTAGATCTCTTGCTGTACAAGAGGACCTGAGTTCAGATCCCTAGAAACCCACATAAGTGGCAAATAGGCATGTCGGCCTGTCTGTGATCCCAGTCTCAGAAGGCAGCAATGGGGAAACTCCGAACAAGCTGGCTAACAAGACTAACCATGGACATCAAGCTCTGGGCATGCTTGAGAGACCCTGGCTTAATAAGGTTGAAGGTCAATCAAAAACAATCAGGCCTGCACACACCACACATGCATACCCATATACGTGTGTTCGCACACATAAAAACATGCATTC